AATAATGCATGTAATATTCACATATTAAGTATCGTATTATAAAATACAAACACAGTGAGTATGCATCTTTTCCATTGTTTATGGCTGTACGCGTTTATGCAACGAGTATAGCGTTACAATACTTTTCTTATTCTGTTTTACTTTTTAAACCTATTTAACTAGAAGATAAAGAGAAAAGAGGTTAGTCTATTGTAATTTGGTCTCTCAAAAAAGGAACTCGCATGATACATGAGATGCATGACAAAATCAAGTGAAAATTTTATTGCTGAAATGAGGTATTGAAAATTATATTGCTGAAATGAGGTATTGCGATTACTTGTATTATTTGGATTATTCAGACTTGTCCTCATTTTCATTGCCATATTTACATTTTGACAATTGTACACTCCGGCCTTTTTAAAGTGATAGGAGAATTAAAGGGAAATAACTGAGACATCCGGAAGAGGCATGGCATGTGGAACTAGATCAATCTACCCCAGTGGATGAAATAAAGTGTTTGGTCCGAAATTCCAATTACTCAAAGCATACAACGGCTGAAATATTGCAAATATGACAATGAAGATGAGCATAACAGTGTAAATAATATAAATAATACAAGTGACGCAAGGTCATGCATATATATACGGTACATTTACTTATTTTAGTGAAAATATACACAGAGAAGATTGAAATGCCTGTGCGTTTACACATTGTGTTCAATGCATTTATGACTTATTAATTTGCACTGATTTTCCGTCAGAAGCTAATGCCTTCAACTGTGGGTGTTAAAAGGTTAACATTGGAGTGTCCAGTGTTTGATTTGTATTTTACAGTTTAACTTTTTGCAGATTTTTAGATTGGAAGAACTTTTTGGAGATTATGATTTTTAATCATGCAAGTTCTACTAATTAATCCATAGCTGGGGGGTATTTTTTTTTTTTTACCTGTCCTAATAGTATCTGCACATAAGTGACCATAATGAACTCAACTAGAATTGGAACGCTGCTTCCTGATTTCCAATTCCAAGCCATTATCCATTACACTACCAGGTTATGTAAGCATATATGGGTATTCTCAAGCAGTCACCCATCTTGGTACTGACCAGGCTTGACATTTGCTTAACTTCTGTGATTGTATGAGAACATGTGTTATGGCTGTAATCTTGTAGTGTCCAGGGAAGAATTCAAGAGTGAGTCTATTACGCAAAGTAGCAATTCTGGAAAAAAAACCTGTTTGAGTGGAACTTCCTTCTTAGAAACACTGAGGAAATGAAGGTGAGTTCACTCCTTTGAAGTAGCATGATGTATTCTAGATGTAAAGGTCTGAACTGGTAGAACTAAAGATTGGAGCACTTCTAAACCTTTGCAATAGAATAGTGATAGGCTTACAACTTTGCATATGTCAGAAGGGGATTGTGGTAGAGTGGAGAAGTCTTAGAATGGTAGTGACTCTTATCAAAATTATACAAATTATAATTACTCAGTAATACCCCACTTCCCAATATATTTGGCCAGAATTTTTTTTTCTCAAAGAGTATGGTGAACTTGAAAGTTCAGTTGCCGAAATATGATAAAAACAACAAAGATGTGGATACTAGTCCATATAATTCATATGATAATGGCCAAGAAACATTATAAACATTTGATTTGTTGTAATAGCAAAGAGAATTATTACTGATTGATGTAAACAATTCATCCTCAGAAGATTAATGGTTGTAATAATTGTATTTTCATTAGAAAATCTACAAGAAAAGAAAATTGTAGCCACAGGTCTTGAGGAATACTAATCCAAGAGAAGACTTAAAACCAATTTTATTTGCAGGTAGAAAAATAATCATTTTAAAGTTAATGTGAAATAATAAAGTGAGTCGCAACTATTGTTACACTTGTGAAAAATAAATTATTGCATGAGAAGTGCCATATGCAGACTCCATCTGTCACCTGTCCAAGGCTAGTGTAATGGAGTCTTATAAGAGAACATTTTAGGATTTGTTAAATTCATAGAATTAATTTTATCAAAAGGATCACCATACTGATCCAAACATACAAAGTAGGTATGTTAAAAAAAATCAAGGAATCAATTCAGAAAATTTCTCAATGTCTTTCAAATGCTGAAGAACTTGTCTATATAAACAAATGCAAATATCAGTGTGTCACATTTTTTTAACTTTACTCCTAGAGGCCATAGTGCAACATATACCATTTCAAAATCAAGCTGACTCCATGAGCAAATTAAAAACATTCTGGATCAGATCCAGACCTGCAATCTTGAAATTTTCGGTTCCCAAGTTTTCATTACTGTAATTTTTTTTTTTTTTTTTTTTTTTTTTTTTTTTTTTTTTTTTTTTTGCAACATATTTTTTGTGTGATAAGAATTTTTATTCCCAAATTTATTTCCAAGTTATTAATTGTGAAATTCCCCCATGAAATAAAATAATTGTTTGTATGGGAAGTACCTACATTCATCAAACTGTCTTTAATTGGCAGCAAAAGAATTATCAAACTTTTAAAAGGTAAGCTTAAATATTAATGCGATACTTAAATGCAGCCATCAGTTTTGAGTTCTTCTGTAGTTTATTGTTGTCTATCAC